TAGAGTTAGCTCTAGCCATAATTGTTCCAGAACAGATTCAGGATGAGACTTAATACGAGCCTTCAGCTCTTTGCGGACTTAAAAACCAACTCCTCCTCCCTTCCTCTTTTGCCTCGGCATGAGCTTTAGCTGATATCCGGGCACTATCGGCGCAAGCGTTTCTTCCTTTACGCATGTCTCATTAAGTGCTAAGACGTCTATTTGGTATCTGTTTACAGCGGCTACAAGCTCGTCACCTCCAGTGCCCAACGATCTCACGTTAAGCAATCCCAGTTTCAAATTTAGTCGTTTATTTGTAGCATAATCTAAAATAAGAGTAGTAATAATCTTGTTTAAATAATGGTACCTACATTTTTTTTATTATTAAATAACAATCACTCGGTTACTTCCCGGAACACTGACTGGACAAATAATTAAGAACTAAAATATAATTTTCTATTTTACTATTTTGAAAATAGAATGCGATAATTCTTCAGTACTATTTTTATGTCAATAAAACGTTCTTAAACCAACAACGTCGCATTGTTGGTTTAAGAACGTTTTATGAAACTATTTATAGAAAATAATGGGAAATAATAAATCTTGTGATTCTGCTACAAGAGAAGTTATAATAAAGCTGCGTGGTTGTAAGTGGTCATATCAGAAATTGTAGACCATTTGCATTGCTCAAAAACGAAGGTGTATCAGACCGCTAAACATTTTAAAACACACAAGACAACTATGAATATTCCCCGTAAACCTAAAGAAAGAAAAACGTGTCCACGAGAAGATTCAAGAATAGTTAATCTCGCTAAGCAGGACCCTTTCAAAGGCTCCAATCAAATAAAAAACAAGTTTTTAGTGAAAACGATCCTCGCGCAGTATTTGCACATACCGTTCGAAGACGCTTGGTGGATGCACACTTCTTTGGGAGAGTAACAAGGAAGGTGGAAGTATGTACTTTTCTCGGATGAAACTAAAATTAACAAACTATGCTCTGATGGCAAGCAGTAAGTACGCCGACCTAAAAATATGGCAGTTAATCCAAAATATACGGAAAAGGACAGTGAAGCACGGTGGTGGAAATATTAAGATTTGGGGTTGCTTTTCTGGTTATAGCGTAGGACTTACTAGACTGATACAAGGTAATATGGACCAATACCAATACAAACACATCCTTGAAGAACGTATGCTACCGTACGCTGATGATAATCTGCCGGTAATTTGTACATTCCAGCATGATAATGACCCAAAACATACTGCCTACTCTGTTCGAAGATTCCTCGACAGCCAACTGGTTACTGTGTTGAACTGGCCACCAAACAGTCCAGATCTTAATCCAATAGAGCATCTTTGGTGTCAAGACAAAAAGAAATTGGCAAACAGACGGTGCAGTAACGTGAACGAATTGTACGATGCGTTTTTAGAAGAATGGAACTCTAGTTCACTCGAAAAAGTTAATAGAGTCGATGCTGCGCCGCTGCCATGCCGTTATCCACAGTCGAGGACAGGCTACTAAATACTAAATTCCTTTTTATTTATCATTATATTATTAAGAAAACGTTGTTAAATTAATTAAAATATACCACTTCTAAAATTATTGAAATATTGTTAATACTACAGTCAAGTCCCTACCTCGTTCTTAATTGTTTGTTCAGCCTCCATCCTATTTCAGTTTAAATAAAATTAAAGTGATTCTAATTTTAACAGTATTTTTAAATATTATATTTTTATTTAATTTTAGATTTTGTTAACCCCGAATGTTTATAGCTAGCACTATAGTCAATATTTTCCAGTAAGGGTTATTATGTTTATTATGGACATTTGTATATCAAACTGGTGCCGTATTATGAAGCGTTCTTAATTCTATCACCACCACTGTATAAATAATACGTCAATACCTACTCAAAAAATTGTTATGCATGTAAGTATAGATATTTTTTGCTGCTTATATCATTGTCTTTACAATGCTAAAACTAAAACGTCTGTCTTGTAATATATTTACATAACTATTTTGTATAACAATTGATTTGCATTTTAATCCCCTTTTTGTCATAACTGATAAATCCAGATAATGAAATGGGCAACAATTTGAACAATTTTATAAATAAAGATGATTGCATATGTAAAACCTTGTGTTGAAAAAGTTTGCAAGGGCAATATAGATATATTAAGTGCTCATTGTTACAAAACCCATGCCTGCCATCAAGAATGTGATGCGAATAATTTCGGTTATTTGACTGGTATCGATATGGCAGAAAAGAGCCCCAAAATGGATAGGAATGCAGCAATTACATCATCACATTGTTGAAGAAACTGAATTAGAAATTGTAAACCTACGGCACAGAAATGAAGGTCAGTTACTTATATCTACCTACTCAACTCCAAGGAAAAGAAAATTTAGTAGACTAAGAAGAAAATTAGTTAATTTAGAAAAAAATTTAAAAACATTGCTAAAAATGTATGCTATGACGAGTGAAAACATTGCAAGTTTAAAAAATATTACTGTTCAGGTTTGTCTTTCTTTTTTTGATGTTTGTATATAAGTAAACATTTTTAATTTATAATATTAATGGGACATATATTCATATATCGAAAGCATGTTTAGTATGTTTATTACAGTTTTTCATTTAAGTCAATATTGTGTGAGATAAAACTTTAAAAGCTGACGTTCGCAGTCATCTGCCATCGTCATCCTTAAAAAGACGATTTATCACCAAAACACAAAAATTAAACGACAAAAATAAAAAATAATAATTTGTTGTATTTTAAGTCCTAAAAATCATTTAAATCGTAGTAGTTTCCGGGTTCCAGGCTAATGCACTTTCATCTTTTCTTGACTAGTTCTGCTTTTACTATTATTTTCTAGCTTGAATAATCAAGTACCGATCATTTTCTAGGTTCAAGAACTAGTGGCGCGTCGAGTTGTTAATGCAGAAGAAAATGTAATAAAATCCAATTTAATAAAAGCTGTAATTACACGGTACGTTAATATCCACATACAAATTAAAATTATCTAAAAGGAAACTATATTTTATATCAAGGAACATTTACCTTTTTAACATTTACCTTTTCAACATTTTTTTTTCAACATTTACCTTTTTATCTTTCATTTCTATCCTCTAAAACCAACCTATCAATATCATATTATAGGATTAATCGTATCTTCATAAAAAATACAATACATAATAATAAAATGGTATTTCTTTGTAAAAAAAAATATATTGAGTACTCCTATTAAGTACACATAAGAATTTGCTTCGTAATTTTCTTTTTATTTCCAACATAATAAAGGCTGCTCTATACCGAAGTAAACGGAAACAAAGTAAAACGCGATATACAGTGTGTTGATTTGCATTCTCGCCAAATTTAAGAAATTAATATTAGAAATAATGCTAAATCATCTAAAAATATTTAAAAAAAATATTCTGTTCAATATTCTGGCTAATTTTATCTAGTCAAGTTTTCCAAAATTGTCTCGGAGTCATATGCACCACGCAAGGGCAGTGACCCCGCCACCCGCTTCACCGAGCGATACGTAATCTTTCTCGATCGCTTATTTACCTATTTTTTTAATTATGATTATGTACTAGTATTGTTATAATTTACTATTTATTTACATTAATTAGAAACGTTGTCTGAAAAAAGTTTTTTGTAACTTAGATTTGGTACTTACTAACTTTAGGTTACATGAAAGTATTGCTAGATGTACCTAGCTCCACAATTCTCTGCATCATCTGCATCATCTGCAGCTCCACTGCAGAGATTCGCACGTGAGTTTCGTTTCACATTAGACTCCACAACTTTAAAAGCAGAAACTTCGACACTCGTATCCTCCGCGTAAAGTAAACATTTCACATCATGCCATAAGAATTAGACACGCACTTGTACTCTTAATTCATTTTTTGTACTACTACCTCTTGTTTATATACTAAACCACATGGCATTTCCTGACAGACTAGAATAGAATGTACCTATGCGGGATGTCAGCGTGACGTAGACGCAGTCAGTCTGGGAACCAAGGTCTACTACCCGCCCCCATCACCAAATAGATCTAAAATGCGTTTCTTTCTGCGCTTTTAACATTGACTTACAATTGTATGGACGTCGGGTCCGCGCTAAAAAGTGTCCGCACTTGTAAGGCGCTAAAATCGTATACAGAGCGCGACACTCCGCTTTAGTCTTCATTTGTTCTACGGACAGCGCGATACTGCGATGACATAACAATTTAAATTTCGAATAGGTTGACTTGGGACATTTTTTTCGTGGTTTTTGTATTAGACCCGTCGTAAATTTATTTGTAAGTCAATGCTTTTAAGGTCATTGTTCAAAATGTTTGCAAGTACCGATGCCGTGCAAGTCAATGACCTTTGGATCAAAATGTTGTTTTTGAAATTGTTTACCGCAATTAAATAAAAAATAGGAATTTACGAAATGTTTTCTTGAATAATTTTTTTAGTGATTTGGGTTCAGTTTCGGATATAGAATGACCTCTGTAAATGTGGCGAGATTGCAAATCAACACATTGCATACAGTTTTTTATAAAATTTGCCTCTAATATTTTTATCACTTATCGACAACGCAAGAAATCCGATGTGCGTATCTCTAATCCCAGCGAAAGGTCCTCTTTGTCGAGGAGATGCTACTTTCTATTCGTTCAGATGTTAGTCGTTTGTCATAGTCCAGCTATTGACCGCAAGATGGCAGCACGTCGAATGAAATTTCAATAAAATCAAAACGTCGTACCTAATTAGCAATGAAGGTACCTATTAAACTTTCAACGATATAACAACTGGGTAATGTTTAAATTATATTAATAGTCCAGAATGTTACATCTTTTTAAATTAGAAGCTATGATCAATCATTATCAAGATTTCGTAGTGTTTATCATTTTGTTTGTACTCGTTTTGGCGACCGAGGTTATAATAGTAATCGAGGCTTATGGCACTTCCATTGTCTTTTTTCTTCCGTGGGTGCCGATGACTCGGTGGGAATTCCTTCGTTTATATTTTAGGACTCACCTGCTGTAATAGGCATTTTTGCCTTTCCAAAGAATCCGCTATTTTTTCCTTGTAAGCATTTTCCATGCAAGACCACATACAGTCGGCTTGCTTCAGCAAAACAACACCTTGTCTTTCCTTATCCTCTAGTTGAGCGATCTGCCCTTGTAACGTCTTTTCTGCCTCTAGTAGATCATTAACTCTGGCTGAACATTTCTTATCATAAGACACTGCCTAGAAGACAACAAACAAATCAAATTATTGAACGCACGTGCTGTGTTTATACTTAGATATTATATATATCTAAATCTAGACCATTAGATAATGCTTTCTTACCTGCTTCAAATTGCATAGCACTTTACTCAACGGTAAGTCGTTCGTTGTGTTATGACTTGCAATGGATGATTGTCCGGACACGCAGCATGTGTTCTTCTTTGAGACACTGCTTACTTGGCATGGATGGTTTTTATTGTTATTCACTCTGCAATCACAAAATTGTTGTGACGCGATATAAGTTACGCAATCAGATTTGTTAAGGTATACAAATAAAAGGTAATAATAGGTATATAAATATAACTTTTTAAATATAGTTTCTCAAAACGTGGTATTTTTCGTACTACAAATCGTATATGTATTAAAAAACTCGTTTGATACACGTGCGGATTTGTCATTTTCACTGTGAATAATGACAAACTTTCCGCACTTGTATGAAAAATATCTATTTTTTTATCTGTTTCTTGAAACGTCTTCTTTTCATTTCGTATTATTTTCACGAACCTGCAAAGTTGGTCTAGTTGCGTCCCATATTATATGACTCCTAGCGGACCTAACTAACTTTAGTCTTCGCGAATAGTACCTATAGAATGGACTTTTACTAATTGCTACGACTTGCTTTATATAAGAATGAAAACATCGTTAGATTCAACTCTTCGCAGACACCTGAAGCTCTCAACTAGCTTTGAGCATGCTTGAATGACTTACAACGTCCGCTATTTTTAACCGTCTTCAAAAGCGGAGGAGGTTCTCATTTCGACTGTATTTCTTTGTGTGTGTGTTACGCGATCACTCTCGGCATTCGTGAATCAATTTTGATGGTTCTTATTTTGTTGGGAAGAGGGCACCTCAGTATTGGTCCCAATTAAATTTGAATAAAATATTCCACTAACTGCGGCAAATTAGGGAATGAATTCACTTTCCGGTAACAGATTTCAATTCCATGAACTTTTGAGGTCCGTTTTGTTTTTCATAATAGTATTTTTTTTAATATCAATTAACGGGACGAACAAGTCTTGCGCCTAATGATAAGCGACATTCCTGCACATAACAGTTCCAACGACAGCCAGAGATTTGAGGGCACTGCCACTGCACCCGTCACCCTGAGACAAACTTGATAACACCTTTCAAAACCGGAACGCAGATTACTGCGTAAGTTATGTTGACGGTATTTCCCTGGCGAACTTATGTCTAAGGGGCAGTGCCCCTAATCAGATCTTTGTGATTTAAAGCAACTGTTATGGACAGACCTGTAGCTTACCATCAGCCGCAAGATTTGTTTGTCCCTTCACTTGATATTATATAAAAAAACCTTTAATAAATAAGTGTGATGTTCAGCTGAGTGTGAAAATACTTTATATTTTGAAAGTTTTGTTTGCGGTGCATGTACCTACAATATCGTAGCATCTAAGCATCGTAAGTGTATCATGTTGTCTAATATAAAAAAAGGAAAAAAATCTTCGTGTTTCGGGTGTTTTCGGCTTTCCATTAGTTGCCTTTTGCACTTGGTGCCGTCCGACTCACACTCAATTGACTAGATTAGCTACTACACTTTATTTAGTATTTTTGTTCATTTGCTTGGTATTTCGTTATGGAGTAAATATTAGAAAGGGAAATAATTTTACAGATCTATAAAATTTATGTGGAAATCAAAACATGTACTGAATTCATGATAAATCTAATAATTACTATGCTCTAGCCAAATTCAATATTTACGAATTGAATCAATATAAGCGCTATGCCAGAAAAAGTAGAGACAATTTTTGTGCGGTACTTTTTATGTCTGTCCATATACGGATTAAAAGAGGAAACTTACTGTTTCCCACTGGAAAGACTACTGTCTCTGGTGGTGTCATTCGCCATGTAGCACATGATTCTTTGTGCGCGTCCGAACATACTAGATTTCGCACTAGGAATCGGGCAGTGCGGAGTACTGGGCGACTCGGGACACATGCGTTTCTGCACCAATTTCTGTTGATTGTATATCAAAACATAAGATTAAACTGATATGAGCTACGATGCTAGAAACGAATGCAGATGAAGGAAGTATCTGCCCCAAATGGTGTGTTGTCGATGACGTAAAAAATTATTAGAAACCAAAAAAGGAAACAAAAATTGATGTATTTTAAATATACTTTAATAATATATTTTTATTTATACACTGTGTAAAGGGCGGTTCTCTCTACCGTGGGAGAAGGATCTGCGCAGCTCCAGCCAAGTGAAATCTCTAAGTTGTTGAAGAAAGATTTACTTTTACCTTGCATGACGCCAATACAATTTCACCCTATATGCGGAAGGTCAAGGCAGTTGTACCCAAGGACTCGACTCCTGGAAGCCGTTCCGCGAGATGATGAATTTCACCGTTTATGATGGGCAATAAAACTTCGCTCTATATGAGCGTACGCAATATCAGAAGGTCCGAGTACCGGGTAGCAGTTCCCAAAAAGAGACTCAACTCCTGGTTAGCCTAACTGAGCTTTCGGTATTCTCAGATTTCTCTCCATTCGAGGGAAAAATCTTAACATCGCGATTCAGAAATAACGTCAAATGGGTCAATGCCATCTAGCGGATTCTTAGTAAACTAAAAGTAAACATTCTGGCATAAGGCCGACTAATACATAAAGTAGGTTTGTTACAACTGTTTATTATTTTTATTTTAATAACAAAATTTAATGTTTATTTAAAATATTAAACATATTTTTCTGTTAATTGTTTTATTTTCATGAAATTGTTTTGCTCTAGATTATCGGTGGCGTCTGGCCCTGTACTCTCATTGTCTGTTCGACATCCGTCCGATACAATTTACTGTAAGTAATACTCGACTAAATTAAAAGATGCATGATGCCAATGAAACTTCATACTTGACATTGTTTTTTAACTTGGTCGACTATTAACTATTTCACAGTTATTGTTTTGGACGGACGTCTGACAGAGGACGAGAGTCTTGCTCCGTCTCTCGGTCTGTTCTGCATGCAAAATGCCGAGAGAAGGACATTTTATATCCAATGAGTGAGATCATAGTATAATAAATCAAATATGGTAACTCCATGAAACATAGCAACGCGGCTAGTATGTGTGCAGGCCCGCAAGCCGTGCACAAACGCACACATTTGCATAATCGTTAATACAGCAATGAAGCGCTCGCGATGTGTTTAAAAGTAATAATGGTAGATGTACTTATAGTTGTATTTGAGGTTATTTGAACAAGAGTGCCTCAAAGTCAGAATCATTCGGCACTTCATTTGTATATAATCATACTCTTATAATCGAAATAAAATTATCAAAACGTAACTGCATTAAAAAAAAAGTTATTTCAATATGGCAAGAAAATACTATGATGAACCCATTGACTTATGGATGAACCGCTTAATTTTTTCAATATATTTACAACCTGTTGCCGGTACAAGTAAAATAATGTGTCAAACACAGACATCTAGTGTCAACCCTACACTCGGAGCAAAGTTGAATCTTATTATACTCCGGTAACATAAGTATTATATAATCATAAGTTTCCTGATAAGTTAAAAGAGGCCATAATTCGCCCTAGTCATAAAAAAGGCAGTCGTAAAAATTATACCAATTATGTATTAAGTAAAAATGTATTGTCAAGCAGCTTGGAGATTATCTTCAAAAACATAATATTTAAAAAAATTTCAACACGGATTTCAGAAAGGGAAGTGTATTAATGCCTTGTTATCAAATTGTACTAACGAAATTAACAGTTTTTTAGGAGATAAAAAAATAATTTTCGATTTTAAAAAAGCGTTCGAAACTCTTGAAACATGTAATTTGTTAAATGCATTGGGGGAGTGTGGGGTGGGAGAGCCGCTGAACAAATGGTTCAGTGATTATCTCACGTCGCGGTCATACAGGGTGAAAGTGGGTGATAGGTACAGCAAAGAGATAAAAGTATTGTGCGGGGTGCCTCAAGGTTCAGGGTGCGGACCAATCTGTTATCTGATGCATGTAAACAGTTTGTATGGAGTTAGTACTCGACACTGTACGGCGCACATTTTCGCTGACGATCTATGTTTGCTACGAGCCGGAACGGATTAGCATACAATTAGATGTAGATGCAGTTGTTAAGTGGAGCCATGTTAACGGCATTGTTCTGAACACGGATAAAACCAAATTATTGATTTTACACTGTCCCTATCAGCACTTAACCGACTCACCCAGTCCCATTCTCGCCCATTCATTTAAATGTTTACATAATAATTTAAATAATTGTAGATGCAAGCCAGTAGAAAAAGAAAAATGTGTTACTTATCTCGATCTCAAAGTATTGTTCACATAGATTTTATATGTAACAAGTTAAGAATACTATTGGGTAAATTCTATCGCTTAAGTTTCAAAGTGCCAACCAGCACGTTAAAATGTTTGTATATGGCAATGGTGGACTCCATAGTAAATTACGCCCTTGATAGCTATGGACTTACATTTTAATCATACATTGACAGCCCAGAGAAAAAGCAAATTAAGATTTTAAAACTTCTTATAAACAAAGAACAAAAGTTAAATGTAATGGTGACCATACTAAATTATTCCAAATTTGTAAAATTCTTCAGATTAATTTACAACATAAATATCTTCTGGCTGTCAATAACCATAGTGCAGAGGTGCGTGACTCGTCGTTGTATACGGTTGGTAACAACTATAATACAAGGTCGATGACCTCTGGTAAAATTGTAATCCCAAGAGTAACTAACTACTATGGAAATAGGACCTTAAAGAAACGTATTCCATACATATTAAACGGTTTGCCAGTAATACTACAACAGTAATTCAACAGTAATTTTCGATCCTACAGTCAAACTGTATATATAGTTTCGTAGGACTATGTTTATTTAAATATATTGTACCCCCTTTTTTAAATTCAAATAAAATAAAATAAAGTCTTTGTTTCTAACTCGATCTCAAAGTTTAGTATTAAGATTCACCTTTATATTAGTCATTAGAAACTGAGACCAAATAAATATTACCTTCTGTTTTTATATTTTAATTTTTACACAAATGTAAGTGCGCATTTGACCTCCATCTCACCTGATGGAAAGCGACGATGAAATTGACGATGGAGCATGCACACCTAAATAATGCCTATTCACTCTCGCCTTGAAAAGGTCCAACTTATAACGTTCAGGAAACAAGTCTGCAAGCAGGGAATTCCACTCCATAACCGTTCGCCATATGAATGTGGAAGCGTAACGCTTCGTGCGGATCTTTGGAATATCCACAATATGGGGTGGAACCCAAACCTGCGCCTAGTGCCCCGGTGATAAAGGAGAAGGCGGAATTAAATCGTGTAATTCCATCGCACACTCTTCGTGATATACATATCCGGTAAAACACCGAAAAGCAGGCAACTTTACGGCGGTGTTCAAGGCTCTGCAGCTTCACTTCTACTAATTCCGAGATATAACACTAATTTTGACCAGCCTGGTCATAGACAGAGGCAAATCAGTGTTATTGAAATTTGTGGCCCACCTTTGTGTGCTTTACGATAAATCTCTAATAAATTCATTTCTTCAGTATTTTTTTGGCCGGCCTTGGGAGTGGATCCCGCTGCCAAATGAGCATATTTGGGGCAACCTACGGGTCATTGTCTGGTAGGCCGTCCGAAATATGATAGAATCGCCAAAGAAGATGCTGAATGTACCCGAATGGTCGGACTTTAGCAGGAATTAGCAAAAGACTAAAAGAAATGGCATACTTTGGTGTCGGAGGCTAATCTACTTCGGATCGCAGAGGTAGCCAAGTAAGTCGGTCATTCCCGGACTAGTGTTCACTACCTAATAATTTCCGTGTAATTTTTTTATTATTTAAGCATCAGGTTTTTTTATCGTGCATTATTGTTTAATATTTGAGTATAGTATCATGAAATATTTAATAATTATACTTGAAATTTTAAATAATAAAAATTGCCACGGAAATTAAGTAACGAACACTGGTCCGAGAATGGCCATCGTAATGTTTTTCAGGTAGTATGTACAATAAAGAACTGCTAGGCCACGACGCGTGGCCACCCTACTTACAAATTCTATTAACGCCTATGTATATTCGTAATAAAGTTACTAAAAAAACGTACTGGTAAATCACAATTAGGATCTTCCTTCAAAATGCTCCAGAAATCGCACATTAGTTTGATTCCAGGGTTAGAATCTTCAGGGCAGTCATTTTCTGTGCTCTTCTGTAACGTGGAGCCTAGCTCTTGTATCAACTCGTCGACAGCCTCGTAACGCCGGCTGAGGCATTCTGGCACTTCATGCATTGTACTGCTCGTCTGTGGAACTAAATAGTTAATTCTTCAGTTGATAAGAACAGTTGAGACAACTGACACTGGTTCTAGTCCAGTCGGTCTGGTTTTAGCAGCAGTAGACCTCCTTGTGTGAATTCGTTCGGGAAAGTACTACCACCCTACCTATTCCTGCCGCCATGCATTAATGTGAATATTACTACGTTCCGGATTTTAAGGGTATCTAAGGGTGCAGATGAAATTACAGGCACATGGGACTTTTCAACTTATGTCTCTAAGGTAGTGGGCGTAGTAGCAGTGTCTCTCAGATCTTTGCGATGTACTAAGTGACACTGCCACTGTTATAGACAAGCAAGTCGCTTACCATCAGGCGCACGACTTGTTCGTCCCAGCACTTGATATCATATAAATAAAGTCTGATCGAAGGAATTTTTATTTGTGAACAATCACATGATCTTTCTATCAATAATAAAAACAAACTATAATCCTGGAGTATTTTCTCAAAAAATATAGATGAGTAATAAAGTAAATACACAGACATATCGCACTGTTATTACAATAGTGTTGCAACTCAAAATACGTGAAATTCGAGATTATACCATTTCTGAACGCAAAATTTGATTCTCTACACGTCTAAAAAAAACGTTAGAATATTGTAAGAAATAATCAAAAGATATCCCCTTAACTCAAAATGAGACACATTTTATATGAGCTAGTACTGGTCAAAATAATCCTTATTCAAAAATATTAAATTATTTTTTCCATTATATTTTAAAATATATTTGAGAAATTGTTTAAATGTCTATAATAAACTATAACATACATAAATTTTAATGATTTTTGGCGGGAAGTGAGTAATTCGTTCTTCATCGATTCTGAGAAAGTACACTTTTTGAGTTAATACACTATTATATTAACAGTGCGATATATCTAGTGTAAATATATTATCTAATTCAATTAGGTGCGTGTACTACCTAAACCAAAATCATTATCATAATGAATTCAAAGTGCGTTGTTAGTTTTAATCTAAATTGTACAGTCAACATTGACGTATCTTGTTCCGTTGCATTAGAGGCGATTTTCGAACAAAAATGTGTAGTCTGAAGTGCTGTTGTCCGTACTTTAAGTTTAGTCGTATAGTCAATTATATACTTAATAAAATGTACATAGTTGATTATCGTAAAATTTTAAAGACGGATGGTCTTCAATATGCTCAAAAAATAAGTTGAGAATTTTGTCTAATGGCGGGTCTGTCCGATAAGCGCTCATATAGCAAGTTCGTTTGATGGTGATTGGACCATGGACTGACCAATGTTATGATATGTTTTAAACTTGATAAATTATGATTTTATATGACTAAATATTATTCAAAATACACGGAGTATTACTTAAGACACAATAACGCGCCTTCAAAGTATAATTATGAAGTTATCGAAAAGAACAAATATAGGCATATTTTATATTCTATAACCAATAGTTTAGTACTCCTTTTTTCTTACTTACACTAACAATAAAATAAATGAATATTTTGTAATTAAGACATTTGCCAACAATCTGGCTGTAAATTGAGAGAAATATTTTCAATTTTTAATTTTATTTTAATAAGCAACAGAAGCAGCAAGAGATGACATTTAAAATGACCTTACCGTAAGACGAAATATGACTAACGTTTGGAGTGAACCGTTAATTTATTACTTTAGTCATTTGCTCATGTCGTGTTCTATACTCGCAGCAATTTATACTTGAAATCATTGATGAATCATCGCTTGAAACCTACAATTTTAACATTTTAATATAAAAATTTTAATCGAAGACTTGACACTTTCTTTCTATTGTAAATTATCCTTCTTTTGCGAATGAAAAGTAAAGAAATAACCAGAATCATTTTTATTTTAGCAAGAAGTATTTACACATGCAACATACATAAACTTAACAATCATTTCGGAAAACTGTAGGTTCTATATTTTAAGATGATTCTAAGTACCTATTGTTATAGGCATACGTTTCAAACCTCTATTATATTGTACCTAAACGTCGGCCGCCAGAACAAGAACCGCTAAAGCCTTAAATACGCTAATCTTAACGAGTACTGAGATTTTGAAACCCTGAATACCAGGGGGTCAAAGGAGACTCTCCTCACCAAAGTGCTTTCAGTTCGCTTTTATGTCTACAGCTAAAGACCGCCAAACATTGCCAGTCTCAGGGTCGTATTCCAGAACTCTACTCAATGCTCAAGTCAGGACTTGAGTATGATTTAAAGCACTGAAAATCATACTCAAGTCCTTGGCATTAGGGTCGTATTTCCAGTGCTTGAAATCATACTCAAGTCTGCTCAAGTCCTGACTTGAACATTGAGTAGAGTTCTAGAATACGACCCTGAGTCTCAGCATAATTACGCCAAAGCACAAAAATTAGTCTTCGATGAATTTTTCTACTTTTGAATACATAAATAATGTTTCATAATTTTTTGAAAAGGAAAAAAACGGTTATAAGCTATACAATTTATGAAAACGTATTATACAATTTTAAAACCTTTCATAGTTTAATGTAGGTACACTAGCAATCTTTACAAAAGTATTCTATAATGTCAACTCAAATGCGCTCGAAAACTAATTGCCAGTTACTTCTTTGTCTGTTACTTCTTTTATTAATCTTGAAAATGTGCAGCACATGCTTGATTTGTACTGCTTATACATAATTAATAATAAATGTATTTTTAGGTTACAAAATATTATTCATTATAGCCAAGTCATATCACACAAGGAGTACAAAATAATGAGTTGATAATAAAGTTCCACGGTTGATATTGAACGCTCTTACTTAACCTCACAATTATTTGTCTTGCCTTTTTGTTTATATTGTGTAAATATAATTCAAATTTTGCAATAATTAGGCTTGATAAGATAAGATAAAGTCTAATATTAACAAAGTCAAACATTGTAATTACTTCTGCATTAAGACGGAGGACTAGAAAATAATGTCGAAATTTGGACTGGTAAGTTACGGCGTCATTATTACGAATTATTAGCCATGTGGAACATATATATTATTTTCTTCAGTTCATTAAATTCGTAGAAATAAAGAACCCGTACTAGAGAAATCCTGTTTCACAAGTGCCATGGACGCACACATATAAAACTCATGAGAGAAATAAATGTAGGCCATACAATTGTATTTCTACTGGCCCGGGAAACGATCCCGGGACCTCTGCGTGGGGACTAACATGGTAGCCGCTAGGCCATAGAGGCAGTTTGGTAGCCACATCTGCACTTTCATACCTACCTAGTACTTACAAAATCTAAGTAAGTTCCATGGCTGGTGTCGACTTTATCATCCACTACACCTATTTCGTCTGGTGTCGACTTTATCATCCACTATACCTATTTCTTGCGACGGAATTTCACCATGTTTGTACTACATATGCATCATCACACACAATGGTAGGCAGTCACCATGTATCTCCACTTGCTATGCTATATTTACTGATACATTTCTCAAATGTTACAATACAATTCCTTTAACTGCCTCCGTGGCCGAACGGTTACCATGCCGGACTGCCATGCAGAGGTCCTGGGTTCGATTCCCAGGCCGGGAGAAATATGTGTATGGCCTACATTTATTTCTCTCGTGAGTTTGGGTGTAATTTGTGGTTGTCTATGTGTGTGTCCATGGCACCCGCGACACAGGGTTTCCCTAGTGCGGGGTTATGTTGAGTGTGTGCGTTATTATTAAAAAAATTCATTAATAAAAAATACAATACAATTCATTCATTAATAAAAATATAAAAGTCATATTGCACAGTTGAAATCAAATAATCTTTAATTCATAAGTGAGCAATTTAGACTTGGAATTGTTAAATATAACAATATATTACAATAGATTAAACTATATTGCTCTGAGTAAAGCAGATTCCCTTGAGAAGAATGAGCCAGACACTCCAGGGGTTGCTCTTTGTAAATGAACATATGTACATATTTATCATTTACAATATTTATTTCATACATCATATGTAGATTGAGACAACTTGCAAGATCTAAAAGGGTCACTCACCATTGTCACCAAGGATTTTTGTCATCCCAATATGCACAACATATATAATGCTGCAATGGATTCCATCACACATCGGACTAGAAGGCAATGAAATAGTAGATAAATTAACGAGAGAAGCTATCACGGAATCCATAGAACCATCATGTAAACCTCTTGCTGCAGAAATCATCCCATTTGTAAGAGAGCTAAATATGGATATGTGGAGTAAGATCTATGGTGAGATTTCTAAAGTGAAAGGGATTTGGTACAACACCATTCAAGTTCGTCCACGGTGAAAGCCCTGGTTTGTGGACGGCGCACTTTCTAGAAATGAATTGGTCTTTGCTTTTAAACTACGTACTGGCCACCTTCCCTTAAATAAGTTCTACCATCTAATAAAAAGAGCAGAATCTCCACTATGTAAATTCTGTAACAAACTTGAAGATATGCTACATTTAATGGAATGTGCCCATTATGTGGCTCTGAGTAGCCAATTTCAAATAGGGGATATTTGGCAGGTTGGGGAGTTAAATGTCATATTGGGTGAATCGTTGACAAAGAGGGCTAAAACTCTACTCATATGTGAGGTCTTGTCTCTCACTACAAGGTGACACAATTATAAAATAATATAAATATAAATATAAATATGCAGAAGGTGAATAATAAATAAGTTTTAGTATAAAATATTTGTTTCACTATAGTTTTAAACCTAGTGACTGGTGAATTTCGAATGTTAACCGGAATCTTATTATAGAAGCGTATGTTGATAATATAAGTACAGAAAATTTTATGTTTGAAGTAAATAAAAAGTATTTATTAATATTATATAAAGAAATTAATGTACTAAATGCATTGACTTACAATTATATGGACGTCGGGTCCGCGCTAAAAA